ACCCCAACCCAACCCAACCCAATCCAACCCAAAAAAGTAACACGTATGTTATTAAAATGGTCCCAATTGGTAACATATAACCAAATCAAAGAGAATCGAATCATCGGAACATTTTGAGCCGTCCATATTTTGTGTACTAAATGACAAACACAAACAACTATTTTTGTACTCCAATTGGAATTGGAGACCATTTATTTGCTTGGATCTCACAAATTGTTTATATATACTTTTTATTTAAAAAACAAAATGATTCATATGAAGTTAAGCATAACAAAACGACTAGCTATCTGGGGTCAACTCACTTGAATATTCCGAACAATTGATCGATCAGATCTAAATTTGCAATTGATGACATAGTCGTTTCAAAGTAAGGTTGAATTTTCATACTTTGATCGATACATTATTTGTCTATGGACTAAGCACGAACGACCCAGACCCTTTTGAGGTCAACACTTAATACTTTCAAATATAGGAATATTGAGAGAAATTTTGGTTTATGATGGAAAATTATAATAATTAAAGAGGAAGAACCAAACCAAATAGTGGCATCAGAAGGTGAATATCTTCTTGAGAGTGCCATCTTCAAATTGGAAAGTACACCTAAACCGAATAAGCCCCACCAACAGTTAAAGGTGTGTACCTTCAAATCATTCCCAGCTAATAAAATCTCTCAATCTCCTCACATGATTGCTCGTGTATCCTACTCGATTTGAACTGAATAGTACAAAGTAAAGTAAAGCAGAGCAGATCGAGGTGCATACCATTTCATCGAGCCAAACCAGGCTAGCTCGTGCAAAAATGTTTAATGAACCGTATCATGCCGTGTTCAGTGAGCCATCGCGGTGAACAATTTTTTCAAAAGTTCAAACAATGAACCAAGGTTATCCGAATTAAGTTGTTATGTTGCCCATTGTCGCGCATTCATAAAAATTAAACCAAGTTTCGTCTTTCAGTATAAACTAGTGCTTCAATTTTAAGCGTGACATATTTTTGCGTGTGTCATGAGATAGTTTAGCAAGACTTGAACGATTTTTTGTGGAGTGTATTGAAGAGTTAAAGATCAACTTGCTGAATACACAATCAGCCAAATAATGACATAAAGAAGAAAATAAATGGATAATAAAGCCAAAATAAGGCATTAACTTCTCCGATCTTTATCAATTCAGTGGGAACATAAAAGGAGAGGCGCAGATTACGGCAAAAGCGGACTAATGAAATTAGTGTAAAAAGAAACGCTTAGACCTAAAGTCGTCTCCAGTCAATGACGACTACTTTTTTTTTTTTAGGCTCAATAACGATTTTTATTGATCCAATGGGGTGATGGATGGCCCACGAGATTTCAATGTCCAATACCTCCAAAAGAGAAAAGGCAACTCCATCTAAAGAAAACATCCTCTGTACAAGACATATTTGATACATTAAATTAAACAAGATCAAGAAAGAGATATGCAGTATATATTTGTCTATCGTCTTATCTAATGCAATTCAATCCATTTCAGTGTGTCAAACATGTACATAATTGTTTACAATACCTCCACTATTCACGAGAATTCATACCCGTGATCTTCTGAGATGTGTTTGGAACACAATATTTGACAATACTCCAAGGTACAACGTACAATTTTAAACTTTTTTCCTCATCGTCCTATCCAATGCGCTCCAGTCCAACACAGCAAACATATTTTGTATGAGTAAAGGCTTTATTATACAGCAAAAGATAACTTGATAACACTTTGCTCACTATCAGCATCATAGCATATACACTTTTTTTTTAATTTCATAACCACTTTCTCCAACTTACGGATCTTTTGTCAAACGACAAGAATCTTGGAATGCTAAGCAGACTATTAACTCGGGTAACACCTTCGAGGGCCGACCATTCCTCGACCTCTGCAGTCGAAAGGAATTCAGCTAAACTCCTCTTAGACTGGCCAAGTGACCTCTCGGGTAGCTTCTCCTCGACTTCCTCGATAACAGGCACTATCTCACTACACAATTTAGTACTATCTGAAGGTACAAGAAGAGCATCTTGAAAAGCCTCATCAATATTTGAGATCTCTGCGTACTCTTCCGCAAGGACCTTACTTCTTTCCTGTTTGGGGGATTTCGTTTGGTTGTTTGGTGCATCAACAACACCAGTTGCTGATACGTGTTTAAGGAAAAGGCATACAACGGCACAGTCATCCATCTTTGATGTTGGGTACTTGAGACTCCATGCTCTTGTAGCACAGTCAACAAGAGCTCGAGCAGCTGTTCCACAACCAGGAGCTGAGGCCACAATGTCCACGGCTTCCTTATTGGAGATGACATCCCATACCTATGTCAAAATAAATAACAGAGGTGAAAGCGATAAACATCAAATGCTGCCTTTGCACAACACTCCGATGTGCAGAGAGGGGGAATGTGCAGAGAGGGGGACAGAACGGAGGGAATCGTTTACAATTAGAGCATGTTTAAACATACTTTTAAACTTAAGGTACAAGTCAATCTCTAGCAAACCATTAATAACAAGAGATAAGAAAATAATACCCCGTCAGTGGCGAGAATGACAAACTCATCTCTTTCAGTAATACAGTGATAACAAACATCTGGGGTAGAAATTAAGCCAAAATCTTTCAAACAGAAGTCCCCAAAGGCTCTGGCCATTGCTAAACCAGGAGAATCACTGTTAGGCAACCATACACGTGCAACTTCTGGCTCATCTTGCAATGCGAAAACCCTTCCTTTACATTTCTGGATCCTAGCAGCTTCTCCTGAAGAATAAAAGAACAGTAACTGAATGTTTTTAACCCATGGCCCAGGGAAATGGCAGATAAAGATGAAGAGATATACTTGGAAGATTAGGTTTTAAGTCCACAGTCAACTGTGCAGCCATCAGAGCATTGTTCTCATCTCTCGTTGCTAATACTGCTCTTGAATCGCCAACATTTCCAATTATGAGATCCTGACCCTGGAAAATCATGTTTAAAATAGTTCATACCAGTTAACCATACATTTTCAACAATATTCCAGGAAAAGAAAGATTGTGACACCTCTGACGTTAAATGCCGCCAATTTGACTAGGTGATAATAGATATGGTGAGGGTTGTGGTGACTGGTGATCATTCTCTCTTTAGAGCATGTTTGGCTAAGCTTGAAAATTACTTGTAAATTGTAAGAAACTTTTTCAGCCCAGATCTTTTAAATTTATTTTTTGAAATGTTTAGTACAAAAACCTACTTTTTAGAAAGTGAGTTCACATTCCAAAAAATGCTCTTGCTACTGTAAAGTGTCTTGCTAAACGAAATTATTTCCTGGCTTTGTTTACTCTTCAGAAGTGAAAACGATAACACAGGTAGATCAAAACTAAGGTAGTTCTATATGGTCCTGAACGGTTCAAACTCTATCTCACAACAAAATGGTCAATTTTCTGCGTCTTGTTGGAGAAGTATGCAATCACCAAAGCTACTGGGATTTTAGCTCGTAAACTTATATTAGGGCCAATTTTAAGAATATTGAAAAGGGACGTAGATAAATACTATTTCCATCATCCAATGACGCAGAAAAGCGAGAAATTCAGATGAAGAATTACCTGCATTATCAAAGTGACAGCAGTCGTACCACTACAAAAACAATCTATTGTAGGATGCAACTTCAATTCCTTATCCATTAATTTGAAAGCCTTTAAAATTGATCTCTTAATAGACATATGCATCTCCGGGAGTTTGTCATTGTCCTCCGCATCCAATGAATCAAACCCGTCATCATCCTTAAACTCATCAAAATGAGTCATTCCCTTGGCATTGCCATTCTCGTGATCAGAACTTTGATTGCTATCATGTTTAGCTTCCAACTCCGCATGCAGCAAAAGTGGAAGAGCATCCCGAACTTTTCTTGCTACCATATGACCATGAGGACCATGACCATCAAACACTCCACAAAATGCAGTATTCGTACCGCTTCTCGTACAGAAATTCTATCGGAGAAACAATCCAAGCAAGTCATAAACTGACCCAAATAGAAAACAATAGCATCCCATCATTCTTCCAGTTCTTATTAAGGATAAACAAATAATAGCAGAAAACCAAGATTTTAATTTATCTAGTCACACCAAGTGTTACTTCCATTTTGTTAACTATAACTAATTTCAACATTAAAACCTCAAAAAATTTATGGTCTTGTTGTCTTAATTTTGCAAATAGAAGTCATATGAACTACTTGTAAATTAAAATTAAATTTGACTGACCTCCCAAACAATCATGGCATCTTGATTGGTACCTTTCTTGCCTTGCTGAGTGTACAAACTGGCGATCCAGCTCGCCCCATTTGCAAAAAGCCTGCCGGGAACTTGATGTAGTGCCCTCTCCTCCACAGCTGCAGCGGCGCCGCCGCCATTTGATTTGCTGATAAACGTGGAAAAATCACCAGAACTACCCTTCCTCAACTTTAAATTTGTACCATGTTCTACTTCTCTCTTCCCCACTGTCCTTTTCTTGCCATTGATTGATGAATAACAAACACCCATTCCCCCAAAACTTGTAAAAATCCTAAATAATTGATCGGATTAAAAGCATGATCAAGAAATTCTAGCAAAAACCAAAAAAAAGGAGGGCGAAAAAGTAGAAGAAAATGGCTGAAAAACGGAGAGAAAGGGACAGAACCCAGAAAGGAAAGGAAGTGGCAGGTCAAGTGTGAGTTGGTATCCATTTTTTATAACTTTTTTATGTAATATTTCTTTCTTCTTCTTAGGATACTGTTTGAAACTGGGAAAAGAAAAACGGAGACTTTCAGAACTCGGAATTATACTATGTTTTTGTAGGAAGAAGTTGTAGCTCAGCAGTTACTTTCTATCTTCAATTATTAAATTTAAACATGCACGCTTAGGTTTATTTATTTCCATAGAGAAGGAATATGTGCCGACTCTGTTATCTTATTTGAGTTTAGGTTAATCATATGTCAGACGATAATATTTCTTTTTTCTTTCAACAGTAAAAATGGAATAACGTACTTTTACTCATAGTATGTGGTCTTGAAAGAAAGGTACGAGGAACAAAGGAATTCAATCAATTCTGGTACAACGAACCAAGGAATGGACCATTCAAGATAAAGTTATTTTCTCTGCGAGAAAAATAAAACGACCCACAAGCTAGAGTTCTTATATTGCTTCGATTCTTCTGTCTTAGTTTGATCTCATTTTAAGTTTTATTTCACCAGTTGTAATAGGTAACATTACAAATTAATCTTTTTGCTTCAAATAGAAACCTATTGTGCAACAAGACAAGTTACAGATGCTATGAGTTATTGTAAATGTTTCGATATGTACAGAAGAGAATTGAGTTTAATAACAAAAGAAAAGAATGCATAAAATCAACCTCAACCTCAAATTTATTGAAAGAAACACTTAGGGTCCGTTTGATAGGAAGAGTGGAAAATGGGTGGAAAGAAAATGTTTTACAGGGAAAGTATTTTTCTAGAAATTGTTTTCCAGAGAATTGTTAATTATGTGTGTTTGATTGATATAATTTTCTACCCGAAAAATTTTTAAATTTTGTGTCCGTTTAGCTTCGTTTTTTATGAAAATTTTTCATTAAAGTGATAATTTTTTCTACCATTGGTTATAAAATTTGTTTCCATTGTCAAAAAGTACAAAAATAATAAAAAAATAATTTTTTACCTAAAAAATCATTTTTTTTAATCAAAGTTTAGTGTTCGTTTGACTTTGTTTTACATGAAAATTGTCCATTAAAGTGAATTTTTTTTTTACAATTGGTTATGAAATTTATTTCCATTGACAAAAAAAAAAGGAAAAAAAAAAAAAACAACACAGATGGAAAAGGATTTCCCACCTAAAAGGTGGGAAAAGAATTTCCCCAAAATCAAGGAACTTGGGCGAGTGAGGTACGAGGTTAGAAAAGATTTTGCCTAGAAAAAGAAGCCATCAAACAAGTCAAAATGGATAGAAAAAGAAATTATTTTCCATTTTCCAAGGAAAACAAGGGCTGTCAAACAGGGCCTTATTGTTGCTTTTGTTGGTTCCAATACAAAGACAATGAAGTAGGCTTGTCTAAGGATAAACAAAGCTCTAACGACAAACTAAATGTAAACTAAAAATGAAAGATTATCCAAAATAAGAACAAAAAAAAATCTAAATTTGGAAGTAAATCTGTTAAATGGAGTCATTTAATTCTGTTTAGACTGTAGATTGATTAGCTACATGACTACAGAACTACAGGTAAGTTGATTACAATGCTATCTAGCTTTGACAACAGCATAACTAGCACGATATCCTCCTTCACGAGTATCTGAACAATGCGGCAGCAACAGCAGCGGGTGGCATAAAATTTTGACATTCTTTTCAACTTTATTGCACTGGGGTAACACAAGTTACACAATGCCTCAATGTACTACCAAATGTAGAAAAGCAGAATCAGTTTCCCATGTTTTTTCTTTGAAACCTGAAAGATTTAGGCCAAAACTGATCTGCAACAGAGGAAACCATGCAAGATTCTAAGTTTATTTACAGAATGTAAAACAAATGGTTTCTACGTCTTCCAGTCGACCCTGACATTCTCATCCGCTTGACAAGATTCTCGGGCACCTTAAGGCTATGTTTGGTACGAAGTATTAAATAGGACTGAACTTTCTTTTCTTCTTTAATAGAGTCAAGTCCAATCCAATCCACCTACCAAACATAACACCCATGGTTTAATTAAAAATCTTCATGTTCGGTATCAGAGTGGCAGAGTAAAGAGTTGTTGTTTCTTCTATGAAAATCTTCGCCAATGTTTCTTTCCCTTTTTTTGAGGCAACTTGAACGGGCTCCAGCTTTTCCGACGCTTGGAGGTTTCACAGAAAAGTCCAGATGCTAGCGCTTGCTGGAGCCAGAGATCAAATTCTTCCTCTTCATCCATCATCTCAGCATCCAAATCCCATGGATACATACTAGAATTCGACGGTTGTGTTGACTTGTCCAATCCAACCATGTTAACATGGAAGCTGGGTCGATGCGTGTTGGGCCTACAAGCCATGCCCTATATAGTCAAGTAGATTCAAAGTAGTCAGAAAGGAACATTGGCTTTCTATTCATCGTGCATAATTGATGTGCACAAGAAAGCAAACAATTAAACTGCAACACAAGGGGAAACCAGTGGTCACTGGTGTCTACAGGGAAAGAAAGATGGGTTAGTTTCAAATTGGAATTGCAATTTCTTTATTATTATTGTTTTACAAATTAAACCAGGCTTCAAGGAAATTAATGAAATTTGTATGATCTAGAAACTCAAAAATCTGGCTCGTGAACAACAGAAAACCTTAGAAATTTTTGCAATTCATTGCGTTTTTGACATATGCACACAATAGAGACATAACTCTCGGATTCAAGTTGATCAAAAAATTGAAGAATTAGGATGATATACAAATCTTAATCCGGCATATCCAAACTAGTTACTCTTGCATTTGAACTCAAATAGATCCTAAACCAGTGTATCCATTTAACAGTTAAGAATCATGTCCTATACTACAAGTTAGCAATATCAACTCCTCTATCACTCAAGTTGGGACCAAGCTCACTACGTTCCAGAAACAAAAATGAGATTGCTCTGCACTAAGGTGGTTAGGGATATTTTTGAGGTAAAATAATTTGAGGAACCCCGAATCTAGTTTAAAATTAGAACAGGTAAAAGATACTAATAGCAGAAATCAACTCATACAGAATTGCTTTATCTGTATATTCCCCTCTCATGGCCTTCGTTCCCTGACACAATTGTAAGGTTTCTTCCAACCATTTCCATCTCCATTGTTCTTTCAAAATCTCATTTCAACGGATATGTCTAGACGTTTCTCAACTGGAAGGAACGCTTATGATTATTTCCCTGCCCAATTAGGCCTCTAACCTCTTCTTAGAATTTCTATGAGAACGTAATACTGGACATGCGGCATTCTAGACTATATAATAAACAAGATTTTAGCTTCTTTTTGTTCATTAATACTGTACAGTAATATTCAATCCTCCCCAATAAACATGGTGTAATAACAATCATGTTTCCAGGGTCGGCAATGGGCGAAAAGTGAAGCCAAATCTGATAATTCTTGGTGCAGATATTATTGTCTATAATGTGTTATACCATGTATACGATATGGGCTCGAGAGTATGTAATATTTGCAATGCTGACCTGACATATAGCCCATTCTGATACATCAAAGATTTTGCTTTCTGCGCAGACAAAAGCACGTGGTATTTCCACCTAAATGCAAGGTATTTAACATATTTTTAGCAGGAAGAAGATAGGAAAAAGTGGATATTCACATAAAACAACGATCGAGAAAAAAAATATGTGAAAGATTTAGAAGCAGTAATGCATAAATTGCAGGTGAGAGGTCAATATTTGCAGCAACAGGCTACAGTGATTGCATGAAAAATGAAATTTACAAATCTTCAATGTAGTTTATCATGAATGGTGAGATTACAATAAAACAGATAGGTTTTTTTAAGTAAAGCATGAAAAGAGAAAATCAAGGAAAAATGAACATCAAAGGCTTATCCAAACCTATAGAAAGAGCATTAAAACATAATACATAGTAGGTAGTTCCACTTGCTTACAAACTACTCTCAACTACTTTTGTCACACATTTAAGGAGATGAAATCAAACATTTTAGTCTTGCAAGCTAACTCANACATATCACCGCATGAGAGAGAGAGAGAGAGAGAGAGAGAGAGAGAGAGAGAGAGAGAGAGAGAGAGAGAGAGAGACTTCATGGAAACATAAGGTTGTAGGACAGAATTTTCGGTGTTGTGAAGAAGCTTGTAGTCAAAAGTATAATTCAGCGATGGCAAAGCATACTTCTTAAAATCTTTACAACAAAGTCGTTATATATAATTTAAAGTAAGTGCATGCTGATCCATGCTCACTTAAGATCAATAGGCTTAGAAGCCCCCAAAGTCCATAAGCCACAGATTTCCTAATTGACCTGGCGACTCCTAACAGTACTTTAAACTCCTCAGTCCTCACAACAACGTTCACGTGTCAGGAGCAGTTTAAGTACCTTTAACTTAAAAGTACGAAACGCATTATGACGTCTATTCTCCGCATTGACACGCTTAATCTTGTGATTCTTGATTCTCGACCTCGACGCTTCGCAACGCATTACGCATTTTAGAACACTGCCTTTAACATGCTACATATAATTAAATACAAATATTAACATGGCATTTGAAACAATTGCTTCAACTTCAAACACATCAAAAGCAATGAAACCATCCGCTTGTGTGAATGAAGTATACCTTTTCAGGTTGATTGAACACTAATGATCCTTTGTACTCAACCCATCCATCACCATCTTTGGCTTGATGATATTGACAGCAATCCTACATATGAAATGTCATCGATCAGTATGCATAGACCACACAAGCTAAGGACATTTTTACCACCTCCTAGAAAGAAGTCTAACCTGACACCATCTTGCTTTGGCCTTTGTCCTATTGGTGCAGACCCAGACATGTGAATTGCCACACTTCGTGCACTGTA